TCCATAAATTAAAGATTCATTACCTTACGACCAGCAGATGCATCTCTTCTTATTGTCGATGGTTTACCAATATGTTGATGGTTACCACCACCATGGGGATGTTCAACAGGCTGCAAACAAATAATGCATGTGTTAGCACTAAATGCAAGAGTAACCCACAAACACTCTGTATTATTGTAAACTACATAGCCTCCATCATGTGATAAGGAAGTGTCAGACAAACTAATCTGTACCTGTATTGTGACCTATTATACTGTCATTTTATCCAATCATCTTCGAACAATAGTTGCAGATACATTTAAGTATTAGGATTAAATGATTCAAAACGGCCACCTTGGCAATTGTGAACATAATGAAAGTAAAAGTAACAATGGATCTAGCAAGAAATCTACCAAGTTACTCTGAGAAGTAGTTGTGAATGTGTTCTAGAATTTTGATTCAAACTTATCTTGTGTACAAAATGGCTGCCAGTTAAAGCATATTTGATCTGAATAGAAAATAAATTGTATTTTCTCCAGGCAGATGCATACACAAAGCCGAGATTGAGAGCAGACTAATGGTATCTATTACTTACGTTCATAGCCACACCACGCACACGTGGCCAACAGTTTCTCTTTGCCTTGTATTTGAAATATGCACGGCCTGCCTTCAGCAATGGTTTGTCAATACGACCACCACCAGCAACAATACCTATAGAGATGACAAAGTGTTATCTCTAAACAATGCTATGTATATATCCAGCAATAACTTGCACCAATTTTTATTGTCACATGTCAACACACATGGTATACAAAGCTTACTATCAGTCATACAACTGATAACTGTCAGGCAAATGTACAGTAAAAACAACCAGAAGAGTTGAAAACTATAAGCCTTACTCACCAACCATTGCTCTGTTAGATGAGGAGATAACTTTTTTAGCTCCGGATGGTAGCTTGACTCGTGATTTTCTGGTATCGGGATTATGGGACACTACCGTGGCATAGTTGCCAGATGCTCTGGCAAGTTTACCACGATCACCTGTCTTTTCTTCAACATTACAAACAATTGTTCCTTCTGGCATTTGAGAAACTGGCAGCACATTACCAATTTGAAGAGATGCTAAAAAAGGCAGAAATAGACATTATTAATTTGGTCATCTTTTTTTTTTTTTTACAGACAAGTTAATCAAACGCTGTACATTCATTATAAAAGTTATCCAAAAACATTACTGGCATGATCAAATACGACCTAATTTTACCAGAAATCCTTGCGTGAATTTGTAGACATGTATATATAGACACCATACTAACCTTTTTTGCCACAATAAATAAACTGGCCTGTGTACATGCCCTCAGCAGCAATGAATGTTTCTACCCTTTTCTTATACCTGTATGGATCACGGAACATCACTCTACATAATGGAGCACCACGACCAGGATCATGAAGGATTTCCTTAAATCATAAAAGAACAGATTGGTCTTGTATAAGGTATCATGTATGTGAATGAGGGAATGGCAGGCACTTGAAATCTATCCAGATGAATCTTATTAGCCATAGAAAACCTTGCCTACCCTCAACCATCCTATAACTCAACTTTTACATGTACATTTGTATTGTACACAACTATTAATATGTTGACACCACAGGGGGACACAGTACATGCATCAAATTGTTTACAGCCTTGGTGAATGGCTGAAAATCAACTGATTGGGCCATGACCTGGGTTGCAATAACGATATGGTTGTGTTTTCCATACTTTCCCTGCGCAAACAGTCAATTATTATTTTTCCAGGTATTGAAACCCGCAGAAACTGACAAAACACTTGTGAATTGTATGGTTTTAAATTAAATAAACTTAGTGATTGGAAAGAATTGTTATTGATGTTTCTCCAGACGCCATAGGAATTATAATTTTCACATTTTAAGGCAAGATCGTTGAAATGATTGTTTCACTAGGTAGCGATGACAAATTAATAATATAATAGTACTGATCGACTTGCTTAGATTTTTCAGCCCTCAGGTGACCGTTTTATCAAAAACCAGCGATGTGAAAAAAACAGCAATAGTGATTACACCAAGTTATAAATCTATTTATTAGCACTAATAACATCACCTACCGTCACTACACCTTTAAGATAACCCATTCGCTCAGCATAATCCAATGAGCGGAGCCTTGCAGCACCTTTCCTGTGTTTTGTGTGGGCCTTGAAGATGGACCCCGGACCTTTACGCTGGCCACGGATAACACGTCCCATATTGCTTGCGCTGTAGGAATATAGAGTAGAGATGCTATTAGAATCATTGACACGTTTCTATCATCCACCTATCAACATGTTTTGAACACAACATGGGACACCAGCCCGCAAAAACAAGGACAGCAACACAACAAACATTTATCATATGAAAACAATAATTAGAAAAATATATAGAATAATATTTGATAGATATTGTTATACATTTATTTGTAAAAACGTAGCTGAATAACCAGGATGACTACTGATGAAAATAAGACACCCAGGAATCGACACTCACCAAAGATGGCGGATTATAGTAAAAGAAAGACTCCCGGATGTTGTGCAGCAAACAGCGCCTTCTACCTCGTTGTGGGTACATTCACTTCCTTCGTTTTTGCGTTTGAAGAATCAATACACTGAGGAATCATACTATACATACACTAAAGTACACGTTTTCTTGGGCTCTGAATTAATGCAGTACTAGTTTTAGCAAGAGAAATGCTGATAAGCTGAGCACCGAATGAAATGAAGTTGAGTCTTTTAATTTCTCATACCTGTGCCGGATGCCAAGACCAGACGTTAGAACACATCCAACTGATTAAAATGAGATCCTAGTTTGTTCTTTTTGTCTTTTTTTTTTTTTTTTTTTTTTTTAAATATGTAAATTTGTTTGTTTTTTTAAAATAATTAATTTTACTTTTAATTTGTTATTTATTTACTTGTAATTTTTTATTTTGTTTTGGCAATCTCAAAAGCCCACGAACCTGGCTTGTGGCGACAATTAAAAACACACAAAACAAGAAACAACAACAAATAACAAAATAATAAAAGTGATGTAAAAATGAAATAAAATATATGTAATAAAAAATACACAACGTCATATTTTATTCCAATTGGTGTCGTACTGGATTATATTCGTTGCAGTGAATTCTCGACGACATTTTAAAAACTGCCACCCCTGGTCTCTAGACTTTATATCTATGTCAGTTCCATGTAATATATTTGTTTATATTCTATTCACGCGGTATTCGTGTTTTATCTGATACTCTAACTGAATGTCACAAATTCTGTGTTCCTCGGGTTCGTTCTGAGAATTACAATTATGTTTTTATAGAATTATAGAATTTTATAAATATTAGCAAAGCAGTAGATGTTACACTCGAGCACTGACAAGTGATGCAGTCGAACTAGCATCATTCACATAATCTATTTAGGCTCAGACCAGTAATACAGTCTGAGATTTAGGGTAATAGGGGCGAGGCTAAGAGTTCACTGCACATTACTTCGGAAGGGCTTGCGAAACTAAAAATAAGAGGGCGCTAACTTGCTTGCGCAATGACAGGGGGTGCCACAAACGTCTCACTTGAAGTGTCTTACTGCACTGAAACTCGAGAAACTAGCAGAATATTTACGTAAAGAAACAGATACTTCTAGCCCAATCTGGTCAAATCCATAGCATAATACAATGGTTCTCTCGGCTCAAACGGTTTTCTGGGTTCACATCAATAATACAGAAAGAGTGCGCTATAACCATAAACGTTAGAAAGACTTTCTAAGGTCTATGCTGTAACTGACTTGCATGAGTATCGGGCGGAATGAGTTTTTTTGTATTTTTGAACAACTTGCTACCAGTTAAATTCACAATTGATAGTGTTTACTACATAAAGACCGCCAAATCTGGAGTGGCAAGTTATTGGTGCTTATAAACGTAACTATACCCCATACATAAGGCACCTCTCTGTTAATCTTCTTATCTGAGTCCCCGTTTCTTGCAATTGGAGCATGCTTGGAGTGACCATTACCACAACACACACACACACAAACAGCTGATGACATGTTAAAATTTAGTGATTTTAGTACATGAATGTCCGCAAGTTAAACTACAATGAAATTCTACATACACAATAACGAAAATCTGTAAAAATGTATATGGGAAATGAGTAAAAAACTCGTCAAAAACGCCTGGCCCAGTCGTTCATTTTGAATGATTGAATCGCAAACAGAAATGACATGCATCAGTAAAAACCAAGTTTAATTGACAAGGCATGTACGGAAGAACGAACGACTCAGAGTCTTCCGACGGAAACTAACAGCTCATCTATAGGTGTTCATAAACTAAATGTGTATTACATCACGTCAAATTTCCACATTTGTATTAAAATTGAACTAATGACCATTTTCTAGGATACCACCCACAATCACAATCTCACAATTGTTCACACAATATTATAAAACTTCAGCACCCTGAAAGCACCCTAAGTGACAAGGGTCGATGAAATTCAGGTACAATAGCAAAAAAAAAAATCGCTATTGTATAACGATTGTCTATAATCTGCTCCACTTTCATATAACATGCATGTTCAGTTACCACTTCTTTATATTTTTTGAAGCCGCAAGATATCTTCGAAAAAATGCCTGTTTTTTTGTGTTTTTTTGTAGTGTCGGCATAAAATCGCCACCAGGGAGTCATCTACTTAGCTGTACATTTGACTTCATTGTTTCTTCAACTCAACTCTTGCGGAAATATTCTAATAATATTATGTAAAAAATGGTCTCTAAACTGTGTTCTTTAAAACTTACCATATTAGCTAATTCAATAACTTTATTTGAAAGGATACATGTCCGTCCTCTCGGGAATTTTATTTGAAACTCTTTTTTGAACCCTCCGAGTTTTACATATATGGGTTTAATGATTCGGTGTCTTGGATTGTTCATTTTGTTTTCATTATTTTTTGTTTGTTTGTTTTGTTTCATTTTAACTGTTGTTATATGTGTGTCTGTGCAATAGATATATTTATTACCATCCAATTCACTGCGAGTAACGAATACAAACGACAGCTCCAAAATGAATGCTCTGCTTGATGCCAATGGTTTTGGATGTTTATGGCCACCCTTTCTTGACTTTCCGTTCACCTTGCATTCACTGACCTGCCTCTTCGTATGATGCCGATGTAAATACACAGAATGTCACACTTCTCGAAAATGCTTAATACTTTTTTGTTTTATTCTTTCCAATAAATAATTATCCAAAAATCTAAGAACATGACCATGTGCGCATTCATTGCATGCAGAATCCTGGGACAAAATGTACAGTGATGTCTGCCCTCCACGGCAGGTGCCAAACTTAAACCTGTGTGTTGTATTATCTAACACACGGGGGCGGACAATAGGACTAAAATGTAGTTAATATTGTAACGTTTGTTTAAATTACATGTTTTAATGTATATGCTTTAAATAATTACTTATGTAGACTTGTTTTTATTTTTAAATATACCAATAACAAGAATAAAAGTATTTTACAACGGCTTAATGAACTGACACCCCCATAACATAATTGGGGCAAACCGGTAGTGACGTATTAGAACGCCGGCAAATAGTGGGGCAGCTTGTTCACCTTTGTTGTACCATTTTCATTCTTTCTGACTGCGAAGTCTCAAAGTGTGTTCTGAATTTCCTAAATATCTCCTAGTTATGAGTAATGGGGCCAATCAACATGGACAGAGTCTAGATCAGCAGGTATGTGTGACGAATTTTGTGAATTGTGAACTGCGAGAGTCAATGGATTGCTTGAAAATCGTTGTCAGACTGACAGGTTTGGAACCATTTGTCGTCGAACGACCGACCTCCATTTTCTAAAATTTGCATAGGAATGGTCGATCGCTTGGAAAATGAGAAATTTCGCAATAACTACAATCAACTGAGAAAATCGTATTATTCATAAATCGATTTCAACCAACAGTTCATGTCTGGCTTGCAGTTTCGTGAAAAATGGCAATTAGAGCGTACATTTTCTGTCACAATTTGCGACTACGACGTCCATTTTCAACCGACTCTTATGATTAGGGAATTTTTCCGCTGCGCCGGTAGATTGCTAGCCACGTGCTCACAGCGTTGCCATTCTCAACTTATGAATTCGAGGTGAACACGCAAATGTAATATTGACCGTCGGTTTGGTTGTGGATGATCACAGATACATAACCTTCATATTCGTGTGTATATTTTACGATCTATACTGGGTTGTTATCTGAGCGTTTCAGTTGCTTGAAGTCGTAGTCGTACCGGTACAACAATTTACATCCTGTGTCCCCGGCCTATTAGAAATTATCTTGAATCACTCAGCGTGTCATTGAACCACATTTTGAAAACTTGGGGGAGATGAGAAAACTACGCATCACGAAATTAAGTGCCCTTTACTTTGGTATTAATCTCAGTAAAATTTGAGAAGCGTGCATGTACTCTACAAATATATAACTTAACTATTTGTTAATCTAGTAACTAAACATTTATCCTAGTTTCCAACTAAACAAACACAAACTGATACTAATATTTTTTTTGTAGTTTGCAGGTCTAGACTTGAACTCTTCTTCTGTAGTGGATACAAGAGGAAGAGGACAGGGTAGTCAACGTAAGTAATTGTTGTGTTGCATGAATACTAGCTAGTATTCCTTGAGATTGCATACCATTGTTTATTTCCACTGAGCCAAGTTGTGAAATAAGTTAAAATACTTCTATTCAAACTTATTTTATTGGTTGTTGATTTGTGTCATGCATAAAAACTTTAGAATTATTGAATTTGTGAGTGGGGTTAAGCTTCATTGTATTGTGTGCATCAATATCCAATTAAAATTTATCCACTTCTCGTATTGTACAAATTAGCCATATGGTGTGCAATACTTGTGTTTGAGATCTTAATAGCAAATAATTAGTAACTAGCATCGCAAATTTAAACAACTTTCTATTTATTCAGAAAATCGCCTTTATGACAATGATTTTCCTATTAATAGTCAAACAGTCTGTAATTATTTGTGTTTATTTAATTGAAAAGGAAAATATTTGATCAGATTTCCAGACAAAAACATTGGCCACAGAGAGCCTGATCGAACCGATCGTTTAACGCAATCCGATGCAATGAATCAATCCAAAAAATGATGACATTGTCTGGGGTTGCCGATGTGAATTGAAATGAAATGAACAACGAAAGTAGCCACCTTACCAACACATTCCGCTTCATGTATATGACATTGAATGTTTAGTTTGATGATTGATAAACATACATTCACTGGTAGTAGACTTGCTTTCATATTGTGTCAATACAAAAATGATTTAAACTCGTTCCGGTGTTTCTTTTTCCTTGCCATCGTATTCAATATACGTTTGTGAGTTTGTGTGAGCAAAAGAGGCTGGTGAGACCGTGTCACAACATGACGTCAGCCTTTGGTTGCGTTAATTTCGTTTTTTTATTCACGAAATCTACCACTGGCAGAGTTTGTTTTGTCATGTCTCGCAACTGAAAGTCCAAACTGACGTTTTGGTTGACAGCCTGTAGGTGTAGATGGGTCGAGATGTCTAGGTATTTTGGGTCAAGTGGTCCAATGAAAAACTGGTCAAGATTTTTTTGGGTCGAGATGTTCAGTACCCTTTGATCGAGAGTCCAAAGCTACTGCTACTGAAATTTAAGTGAAAATTAAAAAATTGTAGCAGTGACAATTTGTTTGGCTCGCTATAGCACTGTCGGAGACGTTGGCAAATGCCATAAAATTCCGAAATTGCAAAAATTTCTAGCAGTGAGATTTTAAATGATTGACAGTATTTTCTCCTATCTTGACTACATTGTGTATTTCCAGCAGTGTTCTCCCCAGGAATTTAAACCACTGTGGCAGCCTGATTTGCATATAATTTGCATATCATTTACATAATAATAAAAATTGACCAAAGCACATTTACACCCACACAATAAACAACATATATTTTCAAAAACAAAGTGGCAGATATTTATTTGCTTCACAGTGTTATAAACACTTTTATTTTGGGCACTTTTGTAATATTAATGAGCTCCGTCACAGTGCAATTATAGTTTTTTTTTGAGTCAAAATATTACGTTTCACAATTTAGAAGAGTTTTAATTTAAAAATTTAACATTCTCGAAATGCAAATGCTGCAGACTAAAAAGAAACAAATTGTAAAAGGTTAAATGAAACTAATTTGAAACGTTTGAGCCAGGATTATGTTCATGACTTTCATGATCTTATTTACTACAAAATTCTCCTTCAAAAAATCGACCACGTAATTATTTGGCGGATTACTGGTTATTATTCCGACCATCAGCTTCTACAACGAACAAATAACACTTCCAAACGTGACATAACTTACTTTGCGATGTTATACACCGGTTATACCAATAATACCTCATACTCGGTCATGATGCCATGCAAAAATTAAATACTTCTTTTTTTATATGAAAAAAAACGTAAAATTTGAACTAGTTTTATCGAGAGAAATTATTTTTGATCACTCGATCACTTTGATGAAAAACACAGACCCGCCATGATAGTTATGACGCATTAGTTGACTGGCATGTGTCCTTTGACTCGGTGGGTCAAAAACGCCATTAACGAATCAGAATGCCGCATGGTAATGCCGGTAGACCCCGAAGTTTTCCGAATGATCGTGATCATAAAAATTACATTGCGGAAGTAAAGCGATGTCGTAGCACGATGTGTTGGTATGAATTTCAGATGAAAACTGCATGATGGTTTTCGAAAGAGGTGATTAGAAATTTTTAAAAGGTAAAAGAAGTCTTGAAAGAAGAGTTTTTACATGATTCACGATGATAACAGTTCAAATGTATTTTACCCAATCACGCAATAAACACGTTGTTTTTCTTGAGTAGCGTAAACTGATCGTGAATTCCGCTTTGCCCATGTTACATCGGGTGGAATTGATTTTGAAAGAATTTTAGCTTTCAATCTAAAGACTGCATCTATCGTCAGAAAATATTTACTTACTAACAAAGAGGTGCTAATTTTACAAAATTGACTTGTATTGTTCAATCGCGGGACTATGTCTATTCTTTATAAATTATTATCCACGACTGGCAGGATGCGTATCGGTCGGTACGCAGGTATAATAACAATATGGCAATAGTCCTGGTCGGAAGCGTTTCCGTGGTGGTCGCTAATTTTGAGTGCCGGTCGGGCCGACCAGCGTGACAAGATCTCCAATGAAAAAAGCACTGTGGCGGTTTTGCTAATCACCGTGGCGGTGTCAGACTGGTGTGGTGGCAAATCGAAGCACTGTGGTGGGACCGCCACGCTGTTTACATCCTGGGGAGAACACTGATTTCCAGTGATTGTACAATTCTTGTCTTTTTAAATACTTGTCATTTGTTATTTTATGTGTAGGTAGCAAGTATATTCCTCCTCATTTACGTGGTAGTGGTGGACATCAACCAGCTAATAATTACTCCGGTGGTGGTGGGGGTTACTACCAGCAACAGCAGCAACAACCACAGCAGGGTGTTAGAGACCCACAAGGTGACTGTCATTCTTGACATGTACTTTGGTTTTAATTGTGATAAGTATGAGGACTTGATTGTTTCACCCTAGGTCTAATCGCATGAATTGATTTGCACAGGTTCATTCATTCCACTGTATGGTGTTCAATAATCATCTCAAAAATATACACGGTGTAGGCACCATAGATAGAAGTTGCTAACCAAGGAAGTATCAAATTCAAATTATTTATGACACGCAAGCCTTTTTTTGCTGTGTCTAGTATTTTATTTAATGTTGCATGTGTTGGAAAATACTTGGTGTAGATGCATTTGTTAGATAGAATTAGGAAAAAAAAATGATAATTGTGTGGTTTACCTCAGAGTATTATAGTATTAGATGATTGATTTATGGTCAATACTGAACGATACTGTCTCTGTGTGAATTCTTAGACCTGTACCGCAGAGGGAATAGCGGTGGCATTGGTGGTGCCTACACTGGCTATGATGGCTATTTCTCTCCTGCCTTTGGAGGCCAGCCACAAGTCTACCCTAGAGGTGGGTTTTATTATTAGCCTCCACTGGTTCATGTCTCCGTAACCTGTGAATATTTGTTTGTATATATTTTTCGATAGTACATCATAGGAAGAGTATTAGTAATTTCGATAATGTTTAATAAAAATTATACTTTTTTTTTTTTTTGCTTCATTAGAATTTTAGGTTTACTTCCCGTTATTTTGTTCTCTACATTGCAGATTTATTCTACTGTAACTTGTTTTATTTGTTTGTTTCAAATTCAAGTATATCCATCAATTGCCATCATGCTTCAGTTTTTACTGATATGTGTGGACAACTAGGCGTATATGAAGACTGCACGAACCTTGGTGGATTCTATTGTACATATTATTTGAATCATTTGTCATAGCTTTTTCAATGCTCTTATTGTAGGTGGCTACACTGGAGGCAATGACTATATGAGGGGGCCTCCCCAGCCCCAGCCCCAGTATAGTAATTTTAATCGCAGAGAGACTGACCGACCAGGAAGTGGGCGGTACAATAACCAAGGTGGTTATAATAATCGTGGTGGTTACAACGGCGGTTACAACGACCGCGGTGGCTATAGCAGAGGTGGTTACAATAATCGTGACCGTGGTGGATACAGTGGCCAGGGTGGCAATACTTACAGCAATAATCGCTGGAGTCGTGATGAACGTATTGGAGGTGAACCACCAAATGTGGATCCACCTAGTTCAGATGATTGGACAAAACTACTGCCGAGGAATGAAAGACTAGAGCGGTATGATTTCCTCTGCATTTGTTTTTCGTTTTCTGTATTAGATAAGCTTTGAAATGTTTTTATCATTGAAGCAGGTTGTGAACATTTCCTATGTTTTCCATTTGACAGGGAACTGTTCAGTGGCACTAGCACTGGCATCAATTTTGATAAATATGAGGATATTCCAGTGGAGGCTACTGGTGAATCGATCCCTGAACCGGTCTCTGAGGTACTGTACAATGGATTTATTTTCACTGGCACTTAATTTCCACTATTTTGATGTTTGAGCTTTTTCACTAGGTTTTTAAAGGCCAACATTTACTTCCTGTGAGATAAGCGGAACTTAGTATTCTGATTTGGCTGATTATTCATTGATAGCAACTGTCAATCGTTTATTGGAAACAGATAATCGACGTCTGTGCTAATCTCATGTTTGTGTCTGGCATTTGCACAGTTCCTTCTAGAGTAAAATGCTTTATGCTGCAATGTTCAATAAATGTATTAAAAAATAAACAGTTACAGACTCATTTACCTCTTGTAATGCATTCCATTGTAATCAGAAACATAAACAATGCACTAGTAGCGACTGGCGTTAATTTCACCCCATGAGCGTACAGTGAAAATTCCAGTAAATTCCAATACCAACTGTTTTGTAACGCATTTATTGGCAAAATAAATGGTCTTGCTCTCAAATATACTATTTTTATTTGTACCTTCGCTGGAAAAATAGAAAATATAATGCAATGAATCACTGTTTCTTGTGTTTTCGTGGAGCTGTAAGTCGCTGTTGGTGAGGGTGACTACATTTGTAAAATAGACAGTTTATATACCGTGTCTGTCTTTGTTCATGAATTCAACATTCATATGCATCTAATTTAGCAGATTTTAGAAATTAAAACCCAGTGAATTATTAATGCCTTTACGGTAATAATTATTTACGTCATTAGTACCTTAACATTAATTCATTTTTGACCTTTTGAATTTGTGGATTTGTAGTGTTTGTAACATAAAATGCAGATACTGTTCATCTACCAACTGCAACAATGAACTGCCTTTTTAAAACATTGCTCTTTTGAAATTGAAATTCTCTTGCACATGTAAAGGATTAGAGGAAGCAAAGTGTCTAATGTTTGTAAATTGATTTTCAGTTCTCGGATATCGATCTTGGAGAAATTATTCAATCCAATATTAAGAATAGTACATATGCACGTCCAACACCAGTTCAGAAGTATGCCTTGCCTATTATCAGATTAAAACGTGATCTTATGGCATGTGCTCAAACAGGTTAGTGTTAATCTTAGTATGTCATAATTTTCTATTTCATTGTCAATGCTCGTAGTTTGTGTTTGTAGAGAATCCTTAAGTATCTATTTGATATTAAAAAAAGCTGTTGGTAATGCGTGCCATGTTCAAACTTTGAACAAGTCTGTAACGTCACTGGCGTGATTGAACATTATGTCATACTCATTTGTAAATAGTTTTTTGATTGCAGTGTTTTTCACAATTCTCCAAATGTAACAAAAATGAAATATTCAGTGCTTTTCAAATTGTAAGACAGTTTTTATAAATTTTTCTTGAAGCCACTTACTGATTTATCCTTGTGTTCACAACTCAGGCTCTGGGAAGACAGCAGCATTCCTCCTGCCTATATTATCTCAAATATATGAGAATGGACCAGGTAAAATACCAGAGGTGAGTTAAGTTATTCAAACACATACTGACAACTAATAATCTGTTAAAATACTGTATATCTTGGTGTAGCTTGCTTGCTATCTTTGTGGCAACTTGAAAATAGTTTTGACTTAAGGTTGTAATAAATTTCAGCTAATTTATACAACATAAAATGTTTTTTGTTTTTGAGTCACATAGCTTGCTAGCCAACACAGATATACAGTGTTCTTAAAGTAACTGGCACATCTGGGATCATATTGTCACCAACAGGGTGTTTGTGTAATGATTCTCATTTCATTGTTCACCCACAGGTAATGAGTGAACCTGGTACCCAGGTAGGCATCATTTCATATGTTTAATGCTCATCTCATCATTTCTATTAACACCATCTGTTTTGGTTTGTATGTATGATCCCATAGTCTATTTGCACCATCTGTCTTGTGGTTTGCTCATATTCATCTGGAGCTTTGCTACTGCTATTGAAGCTATTAATTCAAACAGCATCTCGCCTATTGTTTTCACCGTTGCCTCCTGCCAGTGGTGTATTTTGAACTTATTTTGACACATCTGTTTATAAGACATGCATCTATTTGTATGGACATGCATATTTTTTAATGATACATATAAAAGCATGCATGGTCTAAGATTTTTTTTTTATGTGATGTTTTAATTAAGTTATTTTAATCAATTGATCTCTCTGCCTGGTGTGATGTTTACTTGATGTGTATTTAAAAAGTATTATCCCTTTTTTTTCAGTCTTGTGGGCTTAAGTCTGAAACATCGACTTGTGTGTTGTATACACATCTTTATCTGCATGTAGCTTGCTTGTATTTGATTGATCAAGTTCAGACTTCACATGTACATCAAATATTGTATCAAACGTATGCATTTGTTATAGACCTGATTCAAAATTGCAATTTTAACGCTAAAATTAATCAAAATCGCACATTTTCACTATACTGGAACCAGATCTGTTGTGTGAGGATAGATTTGGATTAAACTTGACACATACCTATTAAGAATTTTGATGCTGGTCATTTTATTTTTTGGGATAGCGTCCAAATGGCAGACTGGCAGCCTATCTGTTTAAAACAATTCGGTTCTGGATTAAACTTAATGTTTCCCACTTAAATAAAAGTTTGTAATTTTCCAAAATAGAAAAGGGACTGCACGAGAGATTTTTGGACCTAGGATCGACATGCTTTACCACATTAGCTAATTGTATAATTTATCCTGGAAAAGCAGCCTTCTCGATAATGTCATACGATGCTGCTCTTTTGAATATTATGATTGGCCTTTAAAAAAGATATTACAAAATTATCAAAAACATGTTGATTTTGGAGCTCTGTCAAATACATAAAAATGTCAGTGTGTGTGTGTGTGTGTGTGTGGGTGTGTGTGTGTGTGTGTGTGTGATGACACATTCCTACCTCAGTGATATTCATATATTGCCTTGGTAGTCATACTATACCTCACACCTGTACCATCAGTTTAGTTTTTGTACAAAGGAAAGACTTTTTGACAATGACTTGTTAACTTTCCTTTTTTTTCCAATCTATTTTCAGTCCCGATATGCTCGTCGAAAACACTTCCCCTTGGGACTTGTTTTGGCACCAACTAGGGAACTTGCTTCTCAAATTTATGACGAAGCCCGAAAGGTGAGTTTTAACACTTTGCAATCTGCAACAACTGAAATGCCTTTGGTATGGTTCATCAGATGATTCCTTTTGTTTTTTATTGCCATTATCACAGTGCAGTATTTCAGTTCCAGTGCAGTTGCTTAGTATTGCTCTTGGCGTTCCCACTGCAAATAGTAACTGATGTTGTCTTTTTTATGTAGACTGTTTAACATAGTCTGATACGATGGATAGCAACAACAGTGTAATTTAACAATTTTATCCAAACAATAACTAAAAGCATGCTGTCTCTACAATGCATGTTATCTTTACAATCCATGACCCAACCTTGCTTATCTGAGGAGAATTAATCCCCTAAATTACTTGCATTACTGTGCTCAGGAGAACCATATATAGCTTCCATGCAATTTTTCAATTGCAACGCACTGGTGTCTATTTCTTTTTCTGTTTCAGTGATTTATTAATATTTTCTCACATTAGGTCAGACTGTCAGATTTATTCATTTTCTGATTGTTACGAGGACCAAAAATTACTTGAAGATTATCACGCTTTGTATCCTCAACAAAAACCAAACACTATTTTCTAATGAGTAACTATTCTAACTGGTGAATTCAACAAAATACCATCAATCACACATTTTTATACAAAAATACTAAAAAAATTAACAGGACAGTAAAAATGAACGCATCAACAAGTGAGCATAAGTTCCAGAGTTTGTATCTTGATTAAAACTTTTACCGAGCTTTTGTTTTCACAAGTTTTTATTTCATACGACGCATTGGCAAGAATGGTGACTGCCTGTTGGTTGTGTGACTCCTTCATGTAGATCGTTTGTATCAAATGACTTGTTACTCACAGAAGGATCAAAGATTCCCTCTAAATAGACAGCAACACAGAAAACCTGAGGAAATAGTCACTGCCTTTATTGAGACATCAGACTGGTTGAATAATCTTTAAAACAATGACTTTAGAAACTGTCTTCAACTCTGACACAGTTAACAGCACTCAAACAAAAATTCTGCCATCACTCGTAAATCTCACGATTAAACGTCAGATTTCTTTCACAAACTCAGATAAAGTCAGTTATACACAAACTGAATCATATTCATCAACAGACATCGCAAAAGTTCTCTGCTGCTTGAGATGACCAAAATTCGCGCGACAACATTCAAACAACTGCCATTACTATCTCCCTTTTTTCTACCCAGAATCATGCCCTCTATCTGCAATAGGAGTTTACTTTCATTTATATATATGTATATATCTTGAACAAACATTATTAAATGTATAATTCACAAACTTGATAATTCAGTAATAATGACTTCTTAGGCTTTAATAGCAGTGCATGCAGACATAACATTTTAAAGTGTAATAATGAATGTTTCTCTGTTTGTATTTACAAGTTCTCCTACCGATCTCATGTGCGTCCATGTGTTGTGTATGGAGGTGCTGATGTGGGTGGTCAGATGCGAGAATTAGATCGTGGTTGTCATCTCTTGGTAGCTACTCCTGGACGTCTGGTGGACATGATGGAACGCGGAAAAATTGGACTAGATCAAATAAAGTGAGTGTGTGCAAGTAGTATCCCTCTGTAATCAGTGTGGTGTATTTGCAGCATTGGTTCACAACATTTTGCAGTTTACTGTTTTGAGATGTGCCAGGCTGCGTTTTCATTGACATCTTTTGAGATGACATACAACAATAATTTCTTTGGAATTGAAGCTGATGAAATAAGTGAATGCAAGATATTTAATTGTTGGTTCATTTTTGCCAGGTGGGTAGTCCTAGATGAGGCTGATAGAATGCTCGATATGGGTTTTGAACCCCAGATAAGACGCATTGTGGAACAGGATACCATGCCAAAGACAGGGGAAAGACAGATGCTTATGTTCAGTGCTACATTTCCCAAAGAAATTCAGGTTGGTAGATAAGTACTTTTGTGTACTTTACAAAGTGGGCTGCCCCATCCCTCTAAATTTATTTCCAGCCCTTTTCAATCAGAAGCATCCGTCTAACTTAAGTCCCAATTTATGCTTCAGAGAATTATCTGTCCAGGAAATTGTCCAGACAGCATGATTGAGTGCAACCCATAGTTTAAGTAATAGGTGATCAACAAAGAAACTGACATGGACAGTGGTATGGTGCTTGCGAGTAGACTTTGACTTCTGCAGAAAACTAAGTTACCGTAAAAACCCGCAAATAAGCGCCACCCTCAATTAAGAGCCACTCAGTGAAAATTTGTTACATTTGACCCTCCATTAAGAGCCACCAAGAGTTGAGTGGTTTTGTCAATAAGAACCCTGAAATAAGCGCCAGCCGCCTGGTTGTTTACAATCAGGCAGACACCGAGCTTGTCGTGCCTCACTTCCACCCTGCATTGTTTATTGCCCCACAGAAGGTGTGAGACAAATAAAGATTATCCCCATAACTTGCCTGATGTCCTGTGTAATTGAGAACGGAAGAATGATAGACGAAAGAAATGCACTGAGAGCGTGAATGTGACTGTCAACTTGTCCATTTTATATTTCTGACACACAATCGACCAATTCACAAACTATTCAGTAGTAACTAGTATGTTTTTTGCCGAAACACCGAAGGACACGTTGAGATATTCATTGTCAATGTTGTCTTTATAACCAAGTAAAGAACGTCACGATTTTAGAACTCCTTTATCGGAAAATCGGAGGTATCGAAAATGCATTCTCACAGACGGGCCGGAACAGGAAGTCAGCAGAAAAACAAA